TCTTCACATCTTGTAGGGGTCTCAGCTGGGGTGTTTGCAGACTTCAAGACCTCTGGGATTTTGGACACCAACTTTTCCTGTGTGATTCCAAGTGGTCTCTGGGGTTCTGGGTACCTGCTTGGTCTTTGGATTCCTATTATGGCATGGTTTCATTTAAGCAGAAGTGTTTTTTTTTTTTTCTTTCTGAAGGTGTGGGCTGGGATATGGAGCTCAGGGGAGGGGAGATGTTGGGGGCTGTTGAGCCAGTTTTAGGGACTGTTAATTGGCAGTTGCTAGTGTCCCTTTAACCATCCTGACCTTGAGTAACATAGAAGTCTTCTGCCAAAGTTGTGAAAATACAGAGCATAGGGGAGAGGGTGCAGTCTGGAGCTGTTGGGAGTGTTAGTGGGTGACAAGCAGTGTCTTAGTCCCTATACCTAACCTACACTCTCATAAAGCAGAAATCTTCTGCTGAAGTTGTTGGCTAGAGTATGGTCAGTCTGATAATGAAGGGTTAGGTTTCATTTTCTGGGACTTGCACACTGCAGCCACTGGAGAGAAGATTGTCTTTCAGGGCACACTTAGAGACTTTTAGACTATAGTGCTAATCCAGAGACAGTTGATTATTATCCTCCAAATTCATATTATTTTTTTTGTTTGTTTTGCAGTTAGTTACTTAGAATAACCAGGCACCATCACCATTTTCCAACAAATTACCAAAAGTCACTGAATTTCTTGTCCCTTACAGTAAACTCTTCAGATTTTTCTAACCATAGACTTTCAGTGTTATTGATGTTAGTAGTGGGGGGGGGGTCTTCAATCTATAGGTATTGCCAAATTGCTAACTGTGTTTTAGATACTTAACCCTTTCACCCTTAGAATTCTGTTTCTGTAGAAATACTACTGGTACCACAATCTGTATTAATCAGGATTCACTAAAGGAACAGAACAGCTAGAATGAAAAATAATATGGAATTTTAGAGTAGATTACAGGGTGGGTAGCCCAACAATGGCTGTCTGTAGCCAGAAAGGCCAGAATCCAGTAGTTGTTCAGTCCATGAGACTAGAGGTCTCAGCAGCCCCAGCCCAGTGCTGGAGTCCTAGAGAACTGGGAACTGCCTGTCTTCAGTCTATGTTGGAATCCTAAAGAAGTATGTTTTAATACTAGTGAAGGAACACCTGAGCAGCAGGATAGACCAACTTTCCAGTGAGAGTGAGGACAAGCAGGAAAAAAGGCAAAAGCTTCCATCATGTCCTTTTATGCATGCTGCCACCAGTGGGTGTGGCCCATATTTAGGATAGGTCTTCTCACTTTAAATGATCTAGTCTAGAAAATCCCCCACAGGGGTGCCACCTGCTTTGGTTTTAGTTGATTTAAAATGTTTTCATCAAGTTAACAACTGAGATTAGCCATCGCATACTTGCACACTTATGTGAGCACTCATACTAACCCACTCCCATAAACTACAAATAGATTAAAAGCAAATAGATATATGCCATGCTAACAGCAATAAAAGGAAACAGGAAACAGTAAGTCTCAGGACAAATATGACCAAAAATATAACAGTCATTTCAAAATTAAAATGTGGACATCCCACCAAAGAGGCATACCATTGCTACAGATTAATGCATCAGTGTCTGAGTTTCAGCATCCACAAAACAAAAACATAATTGACAAAGTCAAAGTCACATAAGGTATTTCTGTTACTTTCTTGCAAGAACTAAAAAAAAATAACTAGAAAGGAAATGCTTAACAATAAGGGATACTTGAATAATATAGACTAATTAATAAACATCTATATAATGTTTGATTTGACAATCTTATATATACATATATATGTGTGTATGTATGTATGTATGTACATTCTGGCTGTTTATTTCTTGACACAAGCTAGAGTTACCTGGGAAGAATTTCAATTAGCAAGATTTCTCCATAAAATTAACCTGTAAGCAAGTCTATAGGGCATTTTCTTGGTTAATCATTGATGCGGGGAGGCCCAGTCCACTGGAGATGGTGCCATGACTGGGCAGGTGAACTGTATGAAAAAACAGGCTGAGAAAGCCACGGGGAACTAGCTAGTGTGATGGGAGATGCCATTATGTATATATGTTTCTCATACTGGTTAATGAATAAAGCACTGTTGGCCAATAGGAAAGCAAGATAGGCAGGACTAGGAGACAAGGAGGAAAGAGGAAGTAGTAAGAAGAGGAGCCAAGATGGAGAGTCTGGAGAAAGCAGTATGCCGGCCGGCTCCCCGGTAAGAGAAATACATTGATCAGCAGAAATGGGTTAATACTTAAGATAGAGCTAGCCGATAAGAAACTGGTAACTGGCCAACAGGATTATATCAAATACAGAGACTCTGTGCGTTATTTGGGGCTGGTGCAGCAGCAGGACAAGACCAGGCGGCAGGAGGAAAAACACTACACTAGTGAGCAGCATTTCTCCTCATTTCTGCTTCAGTTAAGGCTTCCAGGTTCCTGCCTTGATTTTTATACCTGAATGTCACCAGTTGTAAACTGTGAGTTATCAGCTGAAGTAAATTCTTTCTTGTCCAAGTTGCTTTGATCATGGTGTTTATTACAGCAACCGAACCAACTATGATGACATATTCTTCTCAAATGTATAACAGAAGTTTAGTGAGTTGACCCACTGTGCTATGGGAAATGTGTCATTCAGGGGATGAATAGATGAGAGAGAGAGAGAGAGAGAGAGAGAGAGAGAGAGAGAGAGAGAGAGAGAGAGATGCCATAGTAGAGGGAGCCATTATAGGTTTTAAGAGAAAACTGACTCTAGAGAAATGTCCAGAAACCTACAAGGATGACCCAAACTAACAATCTGAGCAACAGTGGAAAGCCTACTTTAAATGCCCTTCCCTGATAATGAGATCGATAACTACCTTATATGCAATCATAGAGTCCTCATCCAGTAGCTGATGGAAATAGAAGCAGACACCCACAGCTAGACACTGAGAAGAACTCCTGTAATCCAGTTGCAGAGAGGGAGGAGTGATGAGAAAAGGGGTCAAGACCAGGCTGGAGAAACCCCACAGAGACAGCTGACCTGAACAAGTGGGAGCTAATAGACCCCTCGACTGATAGCTGGGAAACCAGCATTGTACTGACTCAGATCCCCTGAACATGGGCCTGGCAGTCTAAGGAACCTCTGACAGTGGAACCAGGATGTATCCCTGGTGCACGAAAGGACTTTGGGAGCACGTTCCCCATGGAGGGATACTCCCTGAGCCTAGAGGCAGGAGTGAGGGCCTAGACCCTACTCCAAATGACTTGACAGATTTTGATGATCTCTCCTGGAAGCCATCACCCTTTCTGTGGAGTGTGTGGGGAATGGGACAGGAGGGGGGTCGGGGTGCATGGGAGGGAGGGAGAGGGAACTGGGATTGATATGTAAAATAAGAAAAAAATTATATATAAATAATAATAATAAAGAATCCCGTGTGAGGATAAAGGTGCCTTTTCCAGGGACAAGGCCTGGACATTACTATCAATGCAAAATGATGCTGTAGCAAAGGTGAAAATATTTATGGGGGTTGACAACAAAGAAGTGCTGGTCTTAGTGGGGACCCGAAGAAGGAAAGAAGGGCTTCCTCAGATGCACCTGAGCTTTTGCCTGTATCATGGGTGCGATCCTTCTGTGAATGCAAATTAAGGAAAAGGGACAGAATGAAATTAGGGATAAATCTCACACTGTCTTACTGTTGATGATGCCATGCAGCAGATGTGGAAGCTGTTTGTGAGATTAAACTGTACAACAGTAATTTTGAATAATTCGTGTGTGAGTTCTCTGACACACGTAGCTTCATTCATTTCTCTGGTGCTGGGATCTGTTGCCAATTTGTCCCCAGTAATGTATGGAATCTACAGTTTGAATGCATATGACTTTATTATACCTTCATGTTTTATTTGACTCAAAGAAGAACAGGTGAGTCTTAAGTATTTTGTGACTTTAGAAGCCTCAAGTCTGAGATGAGATTCAAGAACTTGAAAGGATATAAATAGAATTTTGGGTAATTTTGATTACCCCAAAACAAAATATCTTACTGGATTTTGTAATTTTCAGAAATTTATAATAAGGGCAGTTTGTCATCTTAATTTTTAGTAATTAATATATAGAACTGATTAAAATGGAAAAAATAATTCACTTCCAAAAATTCTTTAACTCTGATGTGTTCTCTTAGCTTTTTATAGATACTCTGTAGTCTACAACACACAGTGTGGAGTTTGAGTGATCTGAGTTAATTTTAATAATTAAGACTGGAATAATAGAACCCATGCTCCTCTCTGCCAAGCAAAGCTGGAGAATTTGGTAAATAGCTAACATTTATTGTTATCCAATAAATGCTAACATTTTGAGAAAACATATGTGTTTGTTTATGTTTTTACATTAATATACTCACAACAAAAAGTCACTACTGTAATTGATCTGGTGAATGGCTATAGCCAGATTCAACTCCCCATCTCCCTAGTTCCCACAAGATTCCAAGTGAGGCAACTACAAACATCACACCAACATGCCTCATACTCAGAGTCAATGTTATACAACTACTGCTGAGCCCTGTGCCTGAAGGTTGGGCTTACAAGGGTTTACAGAAATGGCCTAAAGCTATTTCATAAAGAGGATACCCAAGTAATAAGGGAAGGAGCTGTCACAGATCTGCCACCTTTTTTCGAGAAACAATTTCTGTTGCCCTTCATCCTAGCCAGTCCCCACCCACAGCTTCACCTCCCACAAACACTCCAGGAAGGGGCAAGTGTTTACTTTCTCACTATGAGCTGCTTGTGGTTTCCCTCACATGCAACACAATGCTTAGCTGTGTTAGCTACTTCTTATTATGTAAGTGTGATTGGCTTCTCTGCCATAAGTGGATGAATGGCAAGGGGTTTGCTGTTCCTGTTGTTCATGACTGACTCTGCACTGAAACGGACTCCATTCCTGCAGCTCAGAAGACTCACTTGCGCCCAGCCAAGCACACAAAGGCAGTAGACCAACCTTACCTGTCATGCGTGGGCAGCTCTCTGCAGTGGCGGTGCTCTTCCTGTCCCTGGCTGGTAAGTGACATAGCCCATCTTCTGTGGTGGTCACCCTTTATCTAGTTCTCTTAAATCTAAATGCTCATTTGTGCCCTGAACCAAGATGAGTCAGGAAGGGCTATAGGTACAGCATCTGCTACTCCAGGTATTTAGTGTGAGGACATTTAAATCTGTTAGCTTATGTAGCTGGGGACCACCCTCTATTTTTCCCAAGAATCTTCATGATTTGAATGGAATTTCTGTGAGTTAGTTTGGGAATCAGCCCCAGAAGACATTGCCTCTGGCACCCACATTAGTATGGATACCATATATCAATGTGAGTTTGTAAAAATTACCTTAATCTAGGAGATCTGAGCCAGGGTTCAGGAATTGGAGCTGTTGTCTAGTCACATACTGCCTTCTTTGTTTTTCTTAAATTTGAGTGCTTATTTTATGTAAACAGTGACATTTGTAGATATATAAGCTATCATTTCTCAAAGATGAAAACTGAGGCATCAAAAAGGTTATTAAAATACTGCTGTTACACAATCAACTCAGAAAAGTTGCCTGGGAGGCCAAGCTTAGAATAATTACTTTCTTAAGTACCTACTCTCACTTGAGTATTTTATACACAAGGTATTGAGTTCTATTGGATTGTTGTTCTGTTCTGCTAGCAAGTGTACCAGCTAATTACCAGTTCCTTCTATAACTGCTGAGTTTAGCTTGTGAAACCACTAACTCAGTCTATATGCCATGGTGAAATGCTTGCATGGAGGATACAGATGCCTCAGTTGTTAGATGAATGTTATTTATGGGAGCCGTGTGAAGGATCATGGCAGCTGCCTTAATCCAAGTAGTTTTTGTTTGCACCATTCCTTCAGGACTATAATTTTATGTTTTCAGAAAAGAAGTGACGTGGTTTGGAGATGTAGTGTAATAGTAATGCTGGCTTAGCATTGGATTCAATCACTAGCACCATGGGGAAACCCCCCCCCCACAACTTATCATTTTAAGCTAATATAAAAAGTAAAAAATTCTGTCTATGAACATACTCTCACCCAGCTAGAAGTGTAAGTAGGATGAAGGATTCTTTGCTTAAAAAAGCACAGGTTCAGCTTATAGTCAAAATTTCATTGCTGAGGAAGAAAAGGCTGGGTTCCAGAGGCATCACCTTCCCATCTTTTGTCTTGTGAACACACTAATAAACATTTTGTCTTTTTAATTACCATTTTGTAGTTGGAAGTTTTTCTCTGTTTTGCTGGGTCCCACTGGAATTCCCACAACACCATTTCATGTTCCCTTTTTTAAGTGTTACATTGAACACATACAGGATACATTTGTTTGCTTACATGTATACATTATTGGCTAGTACTCACATATGTGGGATGGATTTTTAATCCTTCTGAGATCGGGTGCCATCACTTTCTTCTTTTTATTATTTAAGACAACTTTTAGATGTAAATTTTGATCATATTTATCCCCTCCCCAAGTCTTTCCAGATCCTCTTTCCCTCCCTACCCTACCAACTTTAAGTTCTTTCTTAAAACACAAACAGAAACCCAATAAGACAACCACCCCCAAACAAGTAAACAAAATAAAACCCTACCCCAAAAGAAAATAAAAGCCATAAAAAGGCCTGTCCAGGAATGGTTGACAAACCCAGTGTCACTCTAGAGGAGAAAACCAATTTTCTCTTTCCCAGCAGCTATAAGTAGCAGTTCAGTTGTTAATCTTTACCTGAGTGGCTAGGGGTTCATTCATTCATTCATTAAAAATATAAATATAACATATTTAGAGAAAACAAAAACTACCACAGCAAAGTTGGAGAAGATAAATCAACAGAAGGAATCCAATAAATGTGCTAAACTGGAAGCCATAATACACGTGCAAAGGACCTGGTGCAGACCTGGCAGGCCCTGTGCATGCTGCTTCCGTTTCTGAGTCATATGAGCTTTGTTTGTGTTGATTTAAAGAACCTTGTTTCCTTGGTGTCCTCTATCCCCTCTGCCTTTTAGGCTCTTTCCATCTTCTCTTTCACAGGGTTCTCTGAGCCCTGAGGGAAAGGATTTGATGGAGGCATTTCATTTAGGGCTGAGTGTTCCAAAGTCTTTCACTCTCTGAACATAGTCTTGTGCTGGATCTCTATATTTGTTCCCATCTGCTGCAGGAGGAAACTTCTCTCATGATGGTTGAACATGGCACTGACCTTTGAGTATAGCAAAATGTCATTAGGAGTCATTCTATTTCTTCTCCTCCTCCTCCTCCTTCTCTTTCTCCTTCTCCTCCTCCTTCTGTAGTATTTGATTTTCCCCTAGGCTCCTAAGCTGTGCAGCATCAGGTTCTTGGTTGCCCAAGCAGTGCTGGCTATGGATGGCATCTCATAGAGTGTCCCTTAAGTCAAATAACATGTTGGCTCATTACTTCCACCCACAGACTTTGTGCCACCATTGCCCTACATGTATTTCAGGAGGACAATTGTTGATCTAAGGGTTTGTGGCTAGATTGGTGTTTATGTTTCTATTTTAGTTTAGTGTGCTGAGTTGTGTCTTGTAGCAAAGAAACTAGTTAGCCCATGGGTTGGAGGCTCTACATAGGCACCAGCTTGACTTCTCCATGTTCAATGAGTTGTGTGGGTTCTGTCTTGAGCAATGGGTCTTTGCAGTCAGTTTGCAGAGAGAAGCCTCTAGTCTTGATAATAGCTTGGATTTTTTCAGGCTTCCTATGGGACCCCTTTGACCAACAATTCAATCTTCATTTTGTGACAATGTCCTCCTGTTGGGGCTTTGGCTCCCCCATTATGGGTAATTTCATTTAGATTGCCTTCATATATGTATATGTTTTAGGAAGCTCTCACTGTATTGATTGCCCATAATTTTAACTGTCTCTCCCCAAATTCCCTCCCTTGTTCCTTTCTGTTCTCCCTCTCCCCATTTGATACTCCTGTTCTAGCTGCCATCCATCCATTCATCCATCCATCCATCCATCGATCCATCACTATCCTATTTACTTTCCCTAATGAGATCTCTCTGCCCTCGTTAGTCCTGTGTTCTATACCTATGCTCTATGAGTCTATGGATTGTAGCTTGGTTATTCTCAACTTAACAGCTAATATCTACATATAAGAATACATACCACATTTGTCTTTCTGGGTCTGGGATATATCACTCGGGATGATTTTTTTTTCTAGTTACATCCATTTACCTGCGAATTTCATTTCATTTTAAAAAAAATCTGTATAATACTCCCTTGTGTAAATGTACCACATTTTCTTTATTAATTCTTCTGTTGAGGGACAACTAGGTTGTTTCCAATTTCTGGCTATTATGAATTAGAGCAGCAATGAATATGGTTGAGCAAGTGTCTCTATGGTAGGATGAGGAAGAAGCACCTTTGGCTTCAATCCGTCATGTGGTAAGTGTCCAGTAATTGTGAAGTTTTAAGGGTATGGAATACAGCTCAGTACTATAATGCTTGCCTACCATATGTAACACCCTGAATTTGATCCTCAGTAGCATAAGCACCAAATGTTTTGTCTTTACCTATTAATACAGAAAAATTAACCAAGTAGAATGTATTGAATAGAAGACAGAAGCCTAGAGATACTTATAGACTATAGTGACTGTTATGAACCTGTCAATTTCATAAATAGCAGAATAAAGCCATATTCTTTTTTTCACTTTGCATCTTTTCTCATGTCTCAGCCCAGAATCAGCAGTTACAGCTCCTGGAAGTGTCTGAGTAACTGCAATATAAACAAAGAAGTTTGAAGGGACAGAGCGGTTTCTAGCACTCCCCATAAAAAAGTTTCCAAGGGGCAGTTTAAGAATTTGTCTACTGCTGGAGAGATGGCTCAGTGGTTAAGAGCACTGGCTGCTCATCCAGAGGACCAGAGTTCAATTCTCAACACACACATGACAACTCACAACTGTAACTCCAAGATCTGACACCCTCACACAGACATACATGCAGGCAAAACACCAGTGCACATAAAATAACAATAAATGAATAAGTTATTTTACTTTGATGACCCTCCATGAGAAACAAAACCCTTCCTGAGAAATGGATGGTGGGTGGTGGTGGGAATGGGAGGTCAGGAGGAAGAAGGAATTGGGATTGATATGTAAAATAAGATTGTTTTTAATTTAAATAAAAATTAATTAAAAAAGAATTTGTCTACTTTTCTGGATTTATATGTGCTTAGAAAGAGGCATGGATAGAATCAAGATAAAAGAGAGGCAGAGGTCTTATACTCCTTCAAGGGTGTCCTTGAAGAGAATTTGTGTCAACAGCAGACACTATATATGCAATGTTCCTGAAGGCTTTCACAGATAACATCGTGTTTGAGCTTTACAATAACTTTAGAATGTCTCTAAGGCTATTAACCTCCTTTACTCACTCATTCTATTCATAGTTACTGAACACTTTCTATGCACAGGCACTTGTGAAAACTATGCACAAAATTCTCAACTTTAGACTTTTTTGTATTAATTTACTTTTTACATTCCAGTCCCAGTTCCCCCTCTCTCCTTTCCCCCCATTTCCTCCACTCCCTCTCCCATCTGCTCCACCAAGAGGGTAAGGTATCCCCTAGGAAGTCTACTAAGTCTGTCCCATCATCTAGTTGAGGCAGGACTAAAGCACCTCTCTAACCCCACACCCCTGTGTCTAGGCTGGGCAAGGTATCTCTCCATATAGAATGGCCTCCACTAAGTAGTTTGATCTTAGACACACTGCCAGTGGCCTCATATATTGTCACAGTCACACCATTGTCACCTATTTTAAGGGAGTTGAGTTTGATCTTATGCAGGTTCCCCATTTGTCAGACCTGAGTCAGTGATCTCTCACTAGCTTGGGTCAGCTGATTCTGTGGGTTTCCCCATCATGGTCTTGAGTCCTTTGTTCATATTTTTGTTCCTCCCTCACTTCAATTGTACTCCAGGAGCTTGGTCCATTGGTTAATTGTGGATTTCTGCATCTGCTTCCATCTGTTTCTGGAAGAGGGGTCAAGCTTTTCTGGGATTGTAGGCTGGGTATCTTTTGCTTTATGTCTGGTATCCACTTATGAGTGAGTACATACTATATTTGTCTTTCTGGTTTTGGGTTATCTCACTTAGGATGTTTTTTCCTAGTTCAGTACATTTGACTATGAATTTTAGGGTGTCATTTTTTTCTTACTACTGAGAATACTCCATTGTGTAAATATACCATATTTTCTTTATTCATTGTTCAGCTGATGGGCATCTAGGCTGTTTTCAACTTTAGACTTTTAATCTAGTGAGTGAGATGCATAACCAACAAACAAGCCAGCAAGTAAATATTTCTTCAAGGATGGAATTCTACTCATAGCTACTGGCAATGTGATCACTAAATATTTTGATACTTTCCCCATATGTGAGTATAAGATGTGATAGGTGAAGCCAAAACAACGAATGTATCCCTGAGGTGGAGAACCATGGTGATGGGGGCATTTTATAAGGAGGAAAAGGGAAGATACTCTGAAGAGCTAGCACTTAAATCAAAACATGAAGGACCAGAACAATTATACCTTGACTTTTTTCTTAGTTAATAAGGCCTGCTGCTTAAAAGATTAAGAAAATAATAGACGTTGGTTTATATATAGAAAAAATAATATGGAATGGACTATCTTGCGAGAAAATAATCTCTCATCATTAGGAGGAATTAAGCATAAATTGCATGAATATATATCAATTAGGCACAATTTATCCACCAGATTATGCATTAAACTAAATAGATTGTGAGACTTGTTTCAACTTGGAATTACTTGATTCTTTGAAAAATATAAAACCCTATAAATCTCTAATGCTGCCTCAGTCTATAAAATAATCACAGCTACTGTTAACTCTAGGTCATTTTGTGATTTCACAGTTGAACATGATCATGTTAGTGTACATTGGTACCAAAACTTATGCAGTTGAAAGGGTTATATGCAGAATGTCTTGCATAAGGTCATAAATATGTAAAGAACACATGTGCAAACCAAGACATTACAGTGATGGCCTGGTACTAGAGTCTCTGGTGATCTTCATTTCATTGTTTCAACTTTTGAAAGTTTTCCCCAAACATGAAACTATGTCCATGGGTTTACTTGTGAGCACGTTAAAGTGGGAATGGAGGAGGGACCTCTTCAACATTTGGTCACTGCTTGTAACATTTTCCTTTTCTTAATTTGTAGTGATTTTACATGGCTATCAAATAAGAGAAAAAGGATATCCAAAAAGCAGAGACTATCTTCAATATACCTCAACAGCAACAGGACAGACCACAGCAAAACCTCTCCTACAGCTGACTAACCAAACACATCATGTAACTTTAGGAGCAAAATCAAGGGATGGTCATATTGAAATGGCTGCTGAAGACTCCACCTCTGAAAACACAGCTCACACAACAACCAAAACAACAATCCCAGTAACTACAAAAATCCTTCTACCCAGCAGCCCACTTAACTACACCTTTGTTACACCTAATAACTCACATGTGACTGCTTTATCTACTGAAGGTACCATTGGTCCTAGTTCAGTTGCACATTTATTAGTTAATGCATCTGGAGCTAGTCTATCCACTGCCAATCATATAACCGGGAGAACTCCCCAACTTGGTGGTCAGACTACCCTCCCCAAAACATTTCTCACAGCATCACACAAAAGCACAACCAATCAAAAGCCAACTCCACCCATCTATGTCCCAGGAACATCAGTACCTACACAAAAGGTCAGCTTTGCAACCTTACCTGCCGTTATAGTTCTTGGGCCCACTCTAGCAACTAAGTCATCACCAGCTAAGACGGGGACATATGAAGTTCTAAATGGAAGCAGGCTCTGTATAAAAGCAGAGATGGGGCTAGAGCTGATTGTTCAAGAAAACGATTTGGTAAGTTGGGGGTAGTAAGATGATAATGCTATCTTCAAAGTCTGACTGGGGTTGTTTTGCTGAGAAAGAACATCTCTTTCTGGGTGGTGGTGGCACATACCTTTAATCTCAGCACTCATGAGGCAGAAAAGAACAGTTCTCTTTATCCGATCTTTCGGTGAGACAGGTAGCTAGCTGTGGGTTCCTTTCCTGTGTTCTCTATAATAAAGGAATGTGTTCCAGAAGAAAAGTTAAAATAGAGAAGGCAAAGAGAACTTCAGTATGTATACTTCTCAATTAGAGCCATCACTGTCAATATTAGGGATGTTAAATGACAAGCACAGCCTGGTTTTGTCCTTCTGCATGACTTCCTAGCCTAAGTTCCTTTCTGACATGAGATGTTGGAATCCGATGTTCCCCATGGCTCCAGCCCACTGTGATATTAATACAGAAATCCAGGTTAACAAGAACATTAGGGAAAGAGGTTATATAAAGCATTTTCTTATGAAGAAGCCATCATAAATGTATTTTCTTTTAGTTTTTAATCCAACCCCCCTCACATATCTGTATTTGATGCAGAAGTACTTTAGAATATAAAGTCTTCCTTCTATCACCTTTTAATAAATTGAATTAAAAAATTGATTTCCATGCAGTTTGCCTCCTATGAGTTACCCATTAAGAAGTTCCTATCATGGGGAATTCCTTCTAAAAAAAAATCTTTTAAACAGTGCTTGGAAGTAAGAGGGTGCCATCCACTAGGGGAGTTTGTGGTTTTCAAATAAACATCCATTTATTTATTACTCATTTAGTGACTTGTACTTTGGGGGTCTCTGGCTTGAGTGTCCTCTATTCTCTCACTGAGTAGATCTATCTTATTTGGTTTAGGATTTTGCAACTCAGAGACACTTCAACATTGACCCCAGCTTAACCCACGCTTCTGGGAAATGTGGCTCCCAAAGATCAAACCTCTTCTTGGATTTCCAAGGTGGATCAGTGAATATCACATTTATCAAGGTGAGGCATGAATTTCATCACACTGACCGGCTCTAGCATAGCTTGGCTTCTCCTCTGGTGTTGGTTCTTCAGTGCTACATTGCAAGCTAGGGCTTGGCAAAAGGATCTAAGAACCTCTTGAGTTCGGCTCAGATAAGAATAAGGAACTTGGTAGGTAGAAGAAGGAAGTGTTGACATCATGTTTGCCTTCTTCCCCCTTGGCCTACTCTGGCAAGTCCAAGAAGGGCTCCTGTGCCTCTCAGGAGAGCCTTAGCTTTGTGTATGTGGGACGTCTAGTCACCAGTGACCTTTGTAGATTGCTCAAGGAGGGAGTAGCAGGGATGAAAAGATTTGTGGAAATTCTCAGCGGACATTAGATAAGTGGGGTTATTCTAAAACAAACACCAAATACCAGAATGGGTTCTTTCCAATCCCTGAAGGCAAAACCCACAGATTACAAAGGCTCTGAATTTTCCTGACAGGAGCTAGAGACAGCCATATAGAGTGGAAAAGGCTTAGGCATTGAGGTCATAGGCATCTGTAAATTTGACTGTATCACTTATTTGTTTTGTGGCAACCTTAATCCACTTAATTTTTATTACTTAAAAATGAGAAAAGGGATTATTTTTATAAAAGCATATGCATTGTAGAGAAAGAGGTGGATATTTTACAGCTACCCACAATGGGCAGATATCTGGGGGCAAGGCAAATAGATGAACCTGGTCATCCCACTGTTCAGAAAGGAACTTAGCTCATGGTGGAACTGAAAGAGCCAGTATTAGCTGCATGTACTCAAGCTACTTGGGGGATGTTTCTTAATCTGGAAAATGGAAATTATGAGACAAGTTATTCTGACTTTTGGGAGGATGAGAAGTGTACATATAAACTATTTAACACAGTATTTATGTATGCATGGAAATGATTTAGCTTGGAACATAGTTGTTAAGGACAAAGTAAAGCTATTAATTGTCTCTTACTTGTGATTCTGGATTGATTAACCCTTCATTTTATAAGATGAGGTTATTGGGATGAGCTCAGCCATGAAGGTTAACTTGATAGAAAAGGATGTTTCCGGGGAAATCAGAAATAAAAAAATAAGGCAAATCCTACATTTAAAAGTAATTTTCCTTATAATGGTTAAAACAGGGAATTTTCTTGTTGTGCAGGCTAAAAATAAGGCAGGTCAGATGAACCAAGATGCAACAGGATAAGCCAGTAGCCTCCTTCCTATGCATTATGTTTAAACAATTTCTATGAGATGCAGAAACTCTGCAAGAAGACAAAGGTTCAGAGCCTCTTTATTTCTCTCCTGTCCTGACTAAAGATGGTTAGCCTGTGATACACCAGCAAAGGAGCCAAAGCCACATTTCTGATCACCATTGGAGAATGCTTTTGGGATGTTGGGTGGAAAGAGGAAGGGCTTCTATCTCCATCTAGATCTTTATTACCTGTCCACTCATTTAGAATTTGGAAGCATTTAGGTTTTTCTAGAGAGGCAGGGATTCAAGACTTAGGTGGAATCTGTTCAAACTGTCCAGCCCAAGGGCATCAAAAAGAGAGGTAAGGAGGAGCATCAAGAAACAGAGGGAGGAAGAAAAAGACAGACAGACAGATGCACGCATGCGTGCACGCACGTGTGCACGGGCGTGTGCACACACACACATACACACACATGTGCACGCACACACACGCACACACACACATACACACACACACACACACACACACACACACACACACACACACAGAGAATGAGAAACTGCTTAAGCCAAAAGAGTGCACTTAAATTCAAAGACTTTAGGAGCTAAGCATAGTAGAGTAGAAGCAGACTAATGAAAATACATTTTCTCCTTTAATATTTTTATTTTAAATGTTTTGACGAAGATTACAACTTACCTTTCCTAGGACTTGGAGAACTTGAGCTTGATCAGACCTAGAAGTCTGTTCCTTGAGGACTAGCTCTCATAGTTCCAGAAGCTGCTATGTAAGCAGCCACATGAGAAAAACAATCAGTGGTGCTACCCAGATATGCTACCTGCAAACCACACAATGAACAGCACAGCAAGATACTCTCAAAGAGACAATCATAGCACTTATATCTTGGGGTAGCCAACAACCACTTAATTGGATTTAAGGCCTCCTCAGCCCCTACTGAATTCCCTATTTATGTGTGATGCTATAAACCTAGAGATCCACTCATGCTGGTAAGGCTGTGGGGCATCTTATGGGCTAATCCCTCTGCAGTCTCTTACTCTCTTTATCTTGACCAATTGTGGGTCTCTATGGTAACAATGATCTACTGAACAAAATATCTTCTTTGATGAGAAGATGCACTAATTCACAGATCTGCAGTAAGCCATCAGAAGTCAGTTTAGTAGTAGGCTCTCCACCATGATCTATGATCATCCAGCCACAGGCTTTTACCCACAATATCGTGTAGGTCATCTATAGTGTGGACTGGTCCTCAAATCCAACCAGAGAGTGGTCAGTCACTTCCACAAACATTTTGCCATGATTATAGCGGTGATTTACCTTGCCAGGCTGGCCATAATTATAGCTTTTTGGGTTCACAGCTGGGTGAGTTTTATGATTACTTTTTACCCCCAGTTGCATTCACAGCAACTTCCAGTATAGTATAAAAGTTAGCCAATAGGAATGATGCTCCCTAGTGAGTACCAGCTTGATCTCTGTGTTGTATGACTTAAGTATGTGTCATCTTCAGAAACAGGGTCTTGCTGTGAAGTTCTTGAGGGTAAGCTAGGGCATTATCATAAAAGCAGCATCTTTTTCACTTCACCTACAAACTATGTGTATCTGAGGGAAATGCACAACTACTCTGAGCTTTCTAATTAGTCAGTCTAAAACTGATATTTATTGTGTCTTAGAGGGTTATTGTGAAGGCCAAATGAGGCCATGGAGTGGAAATCGTGTACTTGGTAAACTCTGACACCATTCTAGAAATGCCAAACACCTACACAGAAGGTAATGAAGATCCTAAGGGTAGGGAAGATTCTAGAAGAGTCAGAGTAGAATTGTACCCATTCTTTCACTGCTCCTTAAATTAGCCTAACACCATAGCCTAAGTAATTTGCAAGCATAGCAACCAATATATTATCTAACTTAAATCTTTTCAACAGTGTCTCTCTTTGCTTTTATTAAGGTAGGGGTCTTTCTTTTGGCAAGGGTTGAGATAGGGTCTCACTACATAGCCCTGGCTGGCCTGGAACTCGCTATGTAGACCAGAGTGGCCTCAAATTCATAGAAACCTTCCTGCCTCTGCTTCTGAAGTGCTGTGATTAAAGATGTGTTCTACCACACACAGCTGGGATAGAAGGTCTTGCAACATGGACTGTGGATGCAGAACTAAAAGTCTCTTTAATGTAGAAATAAATCCTAGGCAAAGAATAACCTGAGTAGATGGCATATGAAATCAATATAGACAGAACTTGGGCCTCAGATACTTTCCTCTATAGCAAATAGATTGTTGTACTTGACTCTAAGAATGATGAGCCTAGTCTTCTGCTGAGTCCTTGAACATGTCTGACATGCAGTTGATGTTAAAAACAAGTTAATTCTAGTTTGGCATTAGCAGTAGGTGGCAATTTCTTACCCTGTCCACCTTAGGGCTGTGGCCTTGAGTAACACTCACTCTTCATTTTTGTTCTCACATGGAATGTCTGCTATACTTTCTGGTACGAACTAAGAAGGCATCATCATAGGCCACTCAATGAATTGCAGGATCTAGAATTCCTGTACCTTCTGAGTGGTCTGACTAACTAATGTTGTACTGTGCAATGAATCACAGGGGTATGGACTATAATATGATCATAATTAATAAATTTCTTTTATGATTACATGTGAAACATTTTTTCCACTTTCATGTTAAAGTTGGGCCTCTTTATTTTTTTTTGTTATTTTACATATCCATTCCAGTTCCCTCTCCCTCCCTTCCTCTTTCTCTCTCTCCCGTGGCTCCCTCACCACCCTCCCATCCCATCCCCCTCCCCCATTCACAGTGAGGGTGATGCCTTCCAGGAAGAATCATCAAAATCTGTCAAGTACTTTGGAGTAGGGACTAGGCCCTCCCTCCTGCCTCAAGGTTAAGGGAGTATTCCTCCATGGGGAATATACTCCCAAAGTCCTTTTGTGCACCAGAGATACATCCTGGTTCCACTGTCAGAGGTCCCTTAGACTGCCCAGGCCTTCTAACTGAGACCCATGTTCAGGGGTCTGGGTGGGTCCAATGCTGGATTCCCAGCTATCAGTCTGGGGGCCCAGTAGCTCTTCCTTGTTCAGGTCAGCTGTCTTGTTGGGGTTTCTGTACCCTGGTCTCGTCCTCCCTCTCTGCATCTGGATTCCAGGATTTCTGCTCAGTGTTTAGCTATGGGTGTCTGCTTCTGTTTCCATCAGCTCCTAGATGAGGGATCTATGGTGGTGGATAAGTTAGTCATCAATCTCATTATCAGGGAAGAACATTTATGGTAGCCTTTCCACTGTTGCTCAAATTGTAAGTTGGGGTCAGTCTTGTAGGTCTTTGGACATTTCTCTAGAGTCATTCTTCCCCTCAAACTTATAATGACCCCCTCTTTTATGGCCTCTCTCTCTCTCTCTCTCTTTTCTCTCATCTATTCCTCCCCTGACTCAATCTAACTAGTCCCACATACTTTCCTCCCCTTCACTTTATCCTAGTTCCCTCTCTACTCACTGCCCCCATCCCAGTCCCAATATGCTCAGGAGATCTTGTTCCTTTCCCCTTGTGTGAGGGACATTGTATGAATCTCTTACATTCCTCCTTGAATTCTAGTTTCTCTGGCGGTGTGAATTATAAGCTAGTGATCTTTTGCTTTATGTCTAAAATGCATATATGAGTGAGTACATACCATGTTCCTCTTTTTGCTACTGGGTTACCTCATTCAGAATGGTTTCTTCAAGTTCTATCCATTTGCATGAGAATTTCTGGATTCCATTTTTTTTTTCTGCTGACTAGTATCCCATTGTGTAAATGTACCACATCTTATTTA